CTTTTCAAGTCAGTGGCTCTCAACATTTTTTATCATAAGGTTCTCTTCTGTTAATTTCCTCCCATGTATTGGATGTTTCAAAATATTTATCTGCCAAACTAACTGTGAATATTAAGTACAATTCATGTCCAACATTTCTGGTACACCTACCAAGGCCCAAACGTGGCCCTAGACACTTTCTACAGATAATTCCTACCAGTTCTAATCCCCACTGCAGTCCTTAAAGGCATGTGGTGTCTACCCATGTCTGACACTTAGAAAAGTTAAATAATTTGCCCAGTATCACTGTGCTAAGTGGCAGAACTTGTATCTTCCTGACTCCAAATCTTGAACTCGGATGTTGGGAAATAGGCTGAGAGAGGGTAAGGGACTTGGTCAAAGTTATAGGGCCAATAAGAAACAAAGCCAGGGCAAACCTCGGTTTGTCTGTCTCCATGCTATTCTACTACATCCACTAAATTTCTTCCCCCACATAAAAAAATTTTTTTTATCAATTTTTATTGGAGTATAGTTGCTTTACAACGTCGTGTTATTAGCTTCTTGCTGTACAGCAAAGTGAATCAGTCATACGAATACATATCCCCCACTTTTATTAATCAGACATTTATCAATCAAAGCCAGTCTGAGTTTTTCAGAGCTTCTAATTAGCATAAGATAATTGGTATTAACACACTAGATTGCTCTGATTAGAGCCAAAAACAAAGAAATGCGAAAAATGAGTGCGCAGCCTTAGTGTGGGTAAATGTACAGGTTCCATTAGGCTCCGGAAATACTAAATGACATCTCGCATAGCCCCGTAACTACTTGGAAACCCCTGAATCTCCCAAAACCCCTTCCCGGCTCAGGAGACGCCATTAGTATTGTCTGGGCGAGAAAGAACTGTTTCTACTTAGGAAGCACCAGCTCAGAAAAAGTGCCAAATTTAGCTTCCACAGGAGTGAAGCTGTACTTTGCAGAGGGCAGAAGGACACCTTCCTGGTGGCTCGTGGGTTTAGGCTGACCTTCCTTCCAGTGCCCGGGGGTGGGGGAGGGAGGAAGGGAGACCAGTGGGATCATGGGAATTTACCCAGCCTGCCTTGCGGAGCTTCCGGCTAGCTCGGTAGCCTGTGAATTTCTGCCTCTGGAGTGTGCTCTGCCTCAGATTACAATGGATTTTTCCCAGCCAGGGTTACTGGTTCAGTGTGACCTTCTAGGATAAGCTCCCAGCGCTTGCTTGCTGGCAGAGAACAAAACCAGGACTCCAGATTCGATTCGCTTCAGCTGTTTTCCCTCCGGAACATTGCGGGACGCACAGAAGCGCTTCCCCACCTTATTTAGTAACACAGTGTGCTGTTTCAAAATTTAATTTCTGCAGTGGTTTTTATCAGCAGCTTGAATTTACAGCAGGAGGGATTTCAGTCATCCTCATGCGTTTTCTAGCTCTTTTGGGGGAAAGGCAAACGGTTGCTTATACAACTTCCCTTCCTTGCAGTGTTAAGCTGACTTTCAGTCATCTGGTGCCCAGGCTAAGTCATTCCAAATCGGTGTTTGGAGTTTCTTTTCAGACTTTCTAAGAGACGTTTTCATCCGTGAGCGCCCTCTGCCGGACTTCCTTCAAGTTCTTCTCAACTTCCTTAAGCTGTAGAGCCCGCACTGGCCACCTGTCCCTCCAAGGCCTTGACTGAAATGGAGCGGTTGTGGACGTGGCCCTTGACCTCTGGCCTTCCACAGCCCTCTGCAAGCACCCTACCGTGGTGACGGCTCTTCTGTATGACCTCAGAAGACCGGCAGATTCATTTAGGGAGCAGGGTGAGCTGCCCAGCCTTCAGGTGGTCTGTACTGTTTGAAAAGGCTCATGTAAGAGAGGAGCTGAGAGTTTTGCGAGAGAGCAAGGCCGTGTCTGAATCTCTGCTCAACAACGATCATTTCATGGGGTTGGGTGGAGTGGTAGTGGTGGCGTCTATCTCACCTTTAAAGACGGTGGGGAAAAAAAGTTCTGAAAATGAGAGGAGAGAGGACCAGGCTCCTTTGGGGGGTGGGGAGGCAGGGGGGTGTCTAGAGGAGGAGGGAGCCCATGCGTGCTGCAGCTGTTGCTGCTGTGGAGTTACCCGTAGTTCCTTCTGTTCTACGTTCTCCTCTCCAATATGTTGCTTGAAATTCCCCAGCAGAAGTGTCTGCGACCTGCACCCCTTCATCCTTCCGGTGTTGCTGCATCGCAGTGCTCAGGGAACTCTTGTGCCTCCTAGACTGGGGCTCCTTACGTCCCAGCCTTCTAGCACAGTGCCTGGTATGTGGTAAATGTTTGGTGCGCCGAGCTGAACCAGAATGCCCTCTCAGGATTCCCTGCCGGTCCAGTGGTTAGGACTCTGTGCTCTCACTGCCGGGGGCCCGGGTTCAGCCCCTGGTTGGGAAACTAAAATCCCACAAGCCCTGTGGAGTGGCCAAATAAATTTAAAAATAAAAATTAAAAAAAAGCCCTCTCTTCTCAGTTCTGCTCATCCTGAATCTGTTCAAATGTCAAGTGTCAGCAAAAAAACCCTTGCTGTTGAGATGGTCTTCTCTTACCAGCCCCAGAAGGAAGTGATCTTTCTCTGTTCTGTAGCTCTTAATATTTACTTCTAAGAATTATCATTTTCTACTTTTAAATGTAGTTTAAAATTATAGTTTATATTGACTCTTACTTTCTGGATTGTAAACACCTTGAGTGCAGGATCCCTGTCTGATTCACGGCTTTATTTTCCATGACCCACAAAACGATGACTTGCACATAATAATAGCATTTGTACAAGTTAGTATGTGCCAAGCAGTATTCTCCATACTTCATATATGTTCATTCTTTAATTCTTACAACAGCTTTACATTCTTTAATCCTTACAACAGTAAGAACTATCGTAACATCTATCTCCATTTTGTAGGTAAGGAAAATGACTAATAATTTGCTCAGGGTTGTTTTAAGTAGGAAGTGGAGGAAGTAGGATGTAAATTGAGGCAGCGTATTCTAAAGTCTTGACTTAACTTGGATGCTGCCTTTTGACATATGTGCACATAGAGGGCATTGGAGAAATACCTGTTGAATGCACGCACGTTGATATTTCTTAGTTATTTAGAACCAATAAATCGTTTGAAGGTGATCCATTGTTAACTTTTCATCTCCACCCTCTGAACGGTTTTCTAAGCAATGGGAAGGCCAGAAGGGGGCGCCAGAAAGTTGGTTCTAGTTTTGGTTTCAGAAGCTGGATGGCTTGGCCTCGTTCAGGTTCTGGTTTGGAAGTCAGCAGTGCCATCTAGTGAGATAACTTGCTAAAATCAGCTCAGAATTATTTTTCTGAAACTCTGGTACTTATCATTTAGTTCTGGGAACCCCTCTATTAGCTTTACTTTAAGCTTTGATTGCCAGAGTGAGGGTAGGGTGAGAAGGAAGCACAGCCCCATTATAGATAGCTTAAATGGAGTCCAGTTTGATCTCTTCCGTGAAGAGGCTGTAATGCTGATTGTGGTCATTGGGTTGGTTGAGCCCCTTTGGGTGTTAGATAGTGTAAAACACTGGGTTCCAGACAGCGCTCCCTCCTGCTTCTCCTCACATGTACTGCCAGCGGTGTAGACTGGTATTCCTCTCTCTCTCTTTTTTTTTTTTTCTTTTTAAATTATTATTATTGTTGTTATTTTGGTTTTTCTCTCTTGATGCTTGCCTCTGGAGCTGAGCCTGCTGTGGAATTTGAGTTCCAGTCATCTGTGGGTTGCCTACTGTAGTCTTAACACCTATTCCAAGTTGTATAGAAGAGGGTGCTTGATACATATGACAGGTCAGTCCCAATGCAAGAAATCCCATGGGTTAGCAACACAGCAGTATAATTTTGTTATAAGGAGTTTTTAAAAGGCAAGTCTATGAGACCTTGCAAAGAGGGAATGATGAGTAGCCACATGTTCTCCACAGGGAATGAGCGGCAAAAATAAAAGTGCCCTGTGTAGAGTAAAAGAAAGAACACGGGATTGTGTACACACTTGGTTGTGCCAAGCAACTGGAAGCTTTGTGTGTGGTGCTGTTCTGATTTCTGGCGTGTGTGTGTGTGTGTGTGTGTGTGTGTGTGTGTGTGTGTAGGTGCACTTTGTGTATTGGAAAATTTGATGTAAATTGCTTCTAAGTTCATTTACTTCTTGCTGAAAAAATCAGAACATGAGAGCGTGGTTGTAAAATCACGTGCTTCTTTGGTGGAGACTGTACAGTCACTGGGGCAGGCACTTACCCTACAAGATTGTTGACAGTTTGCCATCTTCTGGGGATCTAGTCTAAGGAGTGTACTCTGTAGAGCAGTGCTTTTTATGGCTGTGAACAATCCACCAGAACAAGGGAACAAGTTTGGTTGTACTGGGCCTGGGTTATAGTGACATTTATAGTAATAGGAATTTATTATTAATGGAATCTATGCCAAACAGAGGTTTGCTAACTTTTTCTGTAAGGGGCCATACAGTAAATATTTAGGCTTTGTGGGTCTAATGGCCTCACTACTGCACTTATTCAGTTCTGCCTTAACTGCACAGCTCTGCCATTGTAGCAAAAAAGCAGCCCTGGTTAGTATGTAAATGAATGGGTGTGGCTGTGTTTCAGTAGAACTTTATTTATGACATAATTTTGAATTTCATATAATTTTCACATGTCATGAAATATTATTATCATTTTAAAAATGTTTATTCCCAGCCATTTAAAAAAGCAAACACCATTCTTAGCCCACGGGGGCTCCAGACTCTTGATTAGAAACCTGGAGTACTTAATGGCCTGGGAAGAAAAAGGTGATAGGTCAGGATCTTCCTCTTGTGCTTTAGGTATGATGGGTGGGGTTTTCACCAAATGTGTGTCTCAGTTCCACCATCTGGCAGTATACCCTCTGTGTAAACTTACCCGGGGAACGTCTACCTTTAAGATGTTGTAACCCCGTTTCTCCATTGAGCTGAAGTCTAGATGCTCTCCCCCAGGGTTGAGAAAGAAGCCGAACGTTAACGGTTCACATCCTGTCTTTTCTCAGCAGCCAGCAGAGCAGCCATGACGATGACTCTAGCAGGTTCCTGAGTCCTCGGGTGCGGGAAGAAAGGTAAGATCGCGTGAGGAGGGAGAGGATGGGGGCAGCGATTACAGGGGGTGGGGAAAACGTTTGAGGAAGGTAGTGCTTCTGCCGCGAGCAAGAACTGTGGGAAACTGCAGAGAAATAGGGGCCCGCCAGACCTCTGTGCTCAAACATGGATTAGAAGGAGGATGCTCCCCCTAGACCCGAGTAGAGGGGACCGATTCTAAAGGCTTTTGGTGTCCAGCAGGGGAAGAAGTCAGTGTGTGGAAACCAAGTCCGTTGGGAAGATGTCAGAGTGGACTTGGCACCTGAGGCACACTCTAAAGGTCGGGTGCGGTGTGGAGCGAGAGGGGAAAGGGTATTCTGTGCCCGAGGAAAACGGTGTGGCCGGGGGATGCGTGTGTGGCATCAGAGTGGTACCTGAAAGGTGGGTTCGCCTCTTGGTGGGCGTCAACCAAAAGATACAACCAGGCCAAAGATGGGATAAGGAAGGAGTTATCCCAAAGCAGTGTTTCCCCCACAGCAAAACTGGGGAAGTTTTAAGCTAAGGGCATTCATGCATATTCATGAGGGGCTTGAGCTGAGGAGAATTCAGCATGGATTTGGGACATAGGTCTTTTGGGACAGAGTTCAAGCGTTAGTTGATTGAGGTGAGGAGGGTCGACATCATCCTTCCGTCCTCCACCTGGGTGGGGGGCACGTGGGAGTCAGCATCATCAACCTGTTAACTTCTCCCACCTGGTTGGGGTTTCTGTATCTGCAAAACAGCTCAAGGATATTGTTGTGTGTATCCCTGGAGGGGGATCCAGGACCCTGCCCCAAGGCTGCAGTATTGTTTCTTGACTGTTCCTCTCCTGTCTCCTCCGGATCCCTTCCCTTCCCTGATTAGCAACTGTTTGAACCTGCCCGCTGGAACTCAGGGAAGGTCTTGGAGGCTGAATGAAGCCTATTTCCTGTAATCAAGAAGTGGGGGGCACAGAAAGGCTTTTGGGCCCGGGAGCCCCACAGGGTCCCGCTCGGTATCACTATCTGTTTGCAAGATGACAGCAGAACACCAGGATTGGGGTGGATGGTAGGTGTCAGAGGTTATCGGAGAATGAGGTGGGGTGTACAGGGGGCCCTGAGGATACGGAGGCTCCTGGATGCTCGTTTGAGGCTCTGAGGTGGGACCGGCTAAACACTCAGGCTGTGGGCCCCAGGTGGCATCTGCGGCATGTAGCTCCTCTGAATGGTAGACAGAGGGAGCGGTCTGTTGCAGCAAGTTAAACTTCTGTGCCCAGCGAAGGTGGACCGTACTGACCTTAACGGAAAGGGGGTCTCAGCAGGCGTGCCGCAGGGCTCTGCTTTTGGTCTAGCTCTGTTTATCATTTTTATCAACACACCGGATGAAAATGCAGAAGGTACTTTTACCTCATTTATCAAACTTATGGTGGCTGCTCAGCTGGGAGGGAGTAGAGAGAGCACCAAGGCTGGTAGAACCAAGACTTAGTATTATTTCAAATAGAACAGTAGGTGGAAACAACACGGAGTATTTTAAAAAAGGAAATGTGCTATTATATATTTATACTTTTATATTAGAATAGTTTCTAAAGTGTAGGGTTACCATGGGGAGCCTAACTTGACAGGATTTCATGTGGAAAAGAACTTAAGGGTTACTTTTTAACCAGCCACATATGAGCCAGTAATATGAAGCAAGTACCAAGTGATCTTTAAAAGTGTGAATTCATTACTGGAAGGATGGAGCATGGATTTTAAAAAAAAAAAAAAGGTTTCACTGTAGTCTGTACTAGTTTGACCATATCGGATGTATTATTCTCCATTCTTTGGAAATGGATATTGATAAATTAGAGTTCAGAAAAGAATGATCAAGATGATAACTATGTCATTATAAGGATTGGTTGAAGGAAAGGGGTTTAGCCTGGAAAAGAGAAGGTTTAGAATGACTATAGCAGCATTCTTTAAATATCTGAAAGCCTAAGAAATAGAACTAGAGGGGTAGGAGTTACAGCGAGAAGGATTTCAGCTCAGGATAAGAAAGAACTTTTCCGTGATGAGAACTGTACTGCAATGGAACAGGCCTTGTAAAGTAATGAACTATCTCCTCCATACAAGTGTTCAGGCAAAAGCTAGGTGGTATGTCATGAAAAGGGTTTCATCCTGGGCAGGAGGGTGGGACCTTCCCTTTATATTTATAAAGTTTTATGAGTTCTGCCCTAGTTCTCAGTTTTGTGCTTGTTACTAACCAAAATTAACAGTTCAGCTCATCAGTTTAGGCAGAGGCATGGGGCCTCCAAGGGGCAAATATTAATCACTCTTGTAAAGATGCTTTCATCAGTTATGATCTGATGGCAGTGCCCTCAGTCTCTAGAGTGGCCTTCGCTCTCTTTTCAGTGCTGTCTGGATTTCGACAACCATACTGTCAAAATTGGAAGGGTCCGTAGAGTTCCCCAGCAGAACTCCCTTCCCTGTGCTTGTGCGCCAAACATCTCTGGAAGCGTTCCGTCCATTTCTGATCATCATACCTTCAGCTGCTCCTCGTCTATCTGCTCTATGATTGGCAGCTCCTCGGTTCACTCTGTTTTATCCCTGCTGCTTA